ACCTTGTTGAGTCTGAAATGCACTTAGAAATATTTACCATATTAAAATATAAATGATAGCTTTGAAATGCTTTCTTAAAGTGGAAGCCCTTATGTCTAGCATCAATGCATATGGCTTTGTTCAGCACAGCCATTTTTGAGATGAGATTTGCATATATATATATATATATATATGTGTGTGTGTATGAAATGTTTTATATATATTAAAATATTAGAGGAAATATTCTCCTCATCTCCAGTGTCAAACTTTTAACGAGACCAAAGATGGCTTGAAGGCAGGCTTTATTTTATACACGTTTTGAATTTTCTGCAATACTTTAGCCATACTAGGAATTGACTAGTGCTTTAATTCTTAGACTGGGGGAACTTTTTTATTTTCTTGGCTAAATATTCCTCTTTTCTTAACCTTGTAGACCAGAAGGATCAGTAACATTTCGCACCCAGAACACATGGCTACTGTAAAAGGAGCCACAGAAGCTATGTCTGCCTTCGACTGTGAAAAAGAGAGCTGAATAACAGCCAAGGCCAGGAAACTGTTTAAGACCCCACTTTCGATAGCAACAGTTTTGCAGGCAGGAAGAGGCAGCATACAGACTTTAGCAAAGGAATATCCAAACAACAAGCCCAACGCAGGAACCAAGAGACCCAAAAGAAGCACCTCCAGGTTAGCTGTCTTCAGAAACACCAATCCCATCATGAAAGCTAAATAAATCCCTACAAACATTAAAATCAAACTCAGAGGTCGAACCACTATCTCTAAATAGTTGGCCTTTTCAGGTGTTCTACGCTTGAAGACTATCCCAACCGATATTGGTATGAGTATGAAAAGGAGTGTGGACACGATCTTCAGCACAGGAACATGAAATGTACCTGCTAACCCCAGTATCCTACTGTATATGTAAGAATTGAGAGGCATCATTATCAGAGCCAGTGATGTTGATGTGCAAGTCATCAAAATGGCTAAAGTGACATCTCCTTCCAGAAGGAGAGCAAAGAGATAGCCTCCACCCCCTCCTGGGCATGTGCAGGTCATTACAAATCCAAAGGCTTGTACCTTAGGCAATCCCAAAATCTGAGATAAAAGAAAACCACAGACTGGCATGAGAAAAAACTGTGTAACTGCCACAAGAAGTATTGGCAATGGTCTCTTCCACACAGTTTGAAGTACCTGGAAATCAATCTTGCAGCCAAAGGCACATTTATTTAACAGTATCATTGATAAAACAAGCATGAGGACATATCTATTCACATGAATTGATGCCTGGAAAAGACTGTCTTTTGTCTCTTTGAGCACTCTGACTTTGACATTCTTTATCTCTTCTATGAGTCTTTCTTGCCTACCTTCAGAATTCCAGAGCTGAATGGTCAAATTTGTCTCTCCTTCTTGGTGAGTCATTAGGTTGATGGTAAAGTCTGCAACATCCAGTGAGGTCTTGGTCACGTTCACCACCTGCAGCACTTTTGGATCTTCTACTTGCACAAAGAGGTAGCTGGTGTTAGGCCCTTTACCTTTATAACTTGACCTTATAATGATAGTTTCTTCAGTCTTTGCAAAAGACAGCATTTCAGTATTTTCTATATTCAGGAAGCTGAGAAATGACTTCCTTGCTTCTCCCGGAGCCACCACCAACGAAAGTAGGATTAAGAAAAGTTTTCCAGACATCTTGAAAGCTTACATAAACCATATATGCCAACTCACCTATTAAAAACAAAAGGTCTTTGTTCAGACCTGTTCTTTGTAGAGGCCTTCAGTGAGGGAAAGCGCAAGTATGAGTTAGGTAACAGTTTTGCTGGGTCAAAGTCTAGGAGGAGGGACTCATGTACTTTCCAAACTAATACAAAACTGTCTAGTGAGTGAAAGAACCAGTTGAACTTGTAGTTTAGAAGCACGCCCTAGGATTTAACAGGTATAATTTATCACGAACAGAAACTTAACCTCTCTCTTCCCGAGTCTCTTATTTCTGCTAATGTAGAAACAGCCTCCTGTTTATCTGAGGAGAAAACCTTGGGGTCATCGTTTTTAGTTTTCTTCCATGCTAAGGAAAACAATACACTGAAAATAGTCTCAGGGGAAAAAGAAGTCTAAAATGACTACTCAGGCTTGGAGGTCACTCTTACTGTTTTATCAAGCCAAAAACGAAACACAGAACACCTGTGTGCTGGGGTGACAAAAGAGTAGGACAGAGAGAGGGGCATCAAGATTAGCATATGGAAGAAGTTAGTCAGCAGATAGACCAGCAGCCCCTTCCCACCGAGGCTGACATGGAGCAAGTATACAGAGAAAAGTGTCCCAATCTGCCCTCAGTAGCACCACTGAACCTTTCTTCAGGCCTGGCCCACTTCCACTCATGATAATGCTTCCTTTCTTAATAAGCTATCTCTTTCTACTTTCATTATTTGTGTTGCTGGTTCAATTCCTTGCTCAAGGCCTGGAGAAGTTCCAGCAGGTGCCGCATGGATCTTGAGCCACACCTGTAGTACTAGGGCCCTAGGAGCCTGACTCATGCCATGGTGACTGAGCCAGGCATAGACTTTGCTCTCTTGGGGTTAGTCACATTGCTGCCATCATTGACTACAGAATCCATAGGCTGGCCTTGAGTGCATCCTTAATGTTGCTAATAGTTTTAGAGCAAATCTGTCAGGGAGCACCCCTTCAGACTGCCCTTGGTTTCTATAAGGAAGAAAATGTCTGGTATTGTCACCAGGTAACCTGAAAACATAAAGAAAGTGACTAGTACTGTAATAGGTACTCTGAACAGAAAACAGGGCTCCAGTCTTTTATGCAGGAGCAGTTTAATGTGCCAGCACTGGCCCTGAGAGACAAGTCTCAAAACAAAGCCTTGAACAATGAAAGACCTGGCCTTTTCTACCTTCTGTTAGTTTCCCTTTACAGTTCAGTTTCTTTGTCTCCCACATATGGTGGCACACAGATTCTCATTGGGTGCTCCATGCTACAAGGTCATGACAGACAGAACTGTGTGTGCACACTCAGGCACAGACCAAGCTGCATTCCTTTTTCTTTGTTCTAAGGGTGTTCCTGCCACATTCTCCTCTTTGATGCTTGAACCCTCCTTAGGGTCAAAGAACATTACTTTGATTTAAGAGTTGTGGATGAGAAAACAAATTATAATGCAACAAATTATAACTGACATGTTAAGAAACAAATAACATCAAGATAGATAGTGGTTCTATAACAAGGGTACTAAAAGAAAGACACAGATAGTTTTTTATTTTTTAGCTTTTGAACATTACAGATTTTAATGTTTTTAATGTATTACAGACTTTACCATATTTTTCAGCATATATATGAGAACAAAAAGTGAAAAAGAAATCAGGATGACTAGTTGTCCTAGTTTGTTTCTTCATTGCTGTGACAAAACACTCTGACCACTACCATCTTGGGGAGGAAAGGGTTTATTCAGCTTTCATCTTCCAGGTTGTAGTTCATCAGGGAGCCCAAGGTAGGAACTCAGGACAGGAACCTGGAACAGGAGCTGGAGCACAGGCCATGGAGGAACGCTGCTTACTGTCTTGCTCCCTTGGCCCCTGCTCAGCCTGCTTTCTTATGCAATACAGGACCGTCTGCCCAAGGGTGGCACCACCCACAGTGGGCTGGGCCCTCCCACATCACTCATCAAGAAGATGCCCCTCAGACATGGCCACAGGCCAGTCCAATAGAGGCAATTTCCCGATTGAGGCTCCCTCAACCCAGGTGTGTCAAGTTGACACTAAAGCTATACAGCACACTAGTATCCAAAGGTAAGTTAAGCTTCCTAGAGCTGGGGCCTTTCCCAATGCCAGAACCTCATGGAGCATGCTCAGAGGCCACACTTGTCTCAGGAGCTTTGTTCTGAATGTCAGAGTCATCAGTTGTCAAAGTCCCTTAAAGTCCCTTACATACTGCCCTGTGTCTGCCTTCTTAAAGCTATCTTAGGTTCTTTTCTTTTTTTTAAACTCTTACAAAAACTTTAATTTCATACATGCATATAAGGTGTTTTGATCAAATCCATGCCCACTCCCTCCCCTCCAACATCTCCCATATTGTCCCATTACTTTTTTCTCTTTCTTTTCTTTTTTTCTTCTTTCATTCATTTATTTTTATGGGGCTTTTGAGTGCTCTAACATTCCCCCCTCTGAAGAAGTAACCCTAAAATCTTTTAAGGATTAGATACAAGCTCCCAAATAGTTTTGACATTTTTGGCCTTTGGAAAAGAGTATGTTGCTAACCGTCCCAAGACATTTTGACTTTTAGCCAAGAAACTGGCTACTTTTCTTTGGGTTTTTTTTAACCTTAACTGTCTAGCCAATTCATACCTGCTATTCTTATCACACCATCCTTTGAAGGGGTTACCCAAATTGCCAATAGGGAATAGGGACGCAGACTGCTCTAGCTTCTTCCATGCTGAACAGGGAT